AAGCGCCTGTGCTGGGAGTATGGGGCAAGCAAACCTCAGTGTCTGCCTATTTCCAGGAAATGTTCCAAACCCCTCGAGTCATCTACGGCAGTAATGTCTGAATTTCGTTCTCAGTTACTCTTCCCTCTTCGATTAAACTGCAAAATTGCGCCTCTTGTTTTAGACTCTATCACTCGTATCCGCTTTCCGCACAATGACTCCAGCCGCCTGGCTGTCGCTTCGGCAGATGGGACCGTTTCTATTTGCCACATTGTTCCGATCTCACAAGGCGAAGAGCAGACGGGAGAGCAAAATGAACAAGGAGACACGACTTCCTCCACCATATCTTCCCCTCCCCCGATAACGTGGTTGCGCTTTCCAAATTCGAAGACTGTTGGTGCTGTGATGGACATCTCATGGTCGACAATCAACGACTTTCTCATCTCCGCTTCACTTGACGGCTCGCTGTGTCTATGGGACGTCCAAAAGTCAACGCTGGCTCGCCATTTTTCTGCCAAGGATCTGAACGCTGGTGGTCTCTTGGCCTGTGGATTTCACCCAGCCAATAACAACTACCTAGCCGTATCGGGCACAAAGGGTGTAGTTCAGGTTAGTCAAATGAGCAAGATGCTTATGCTTGGTTTTCATTCCAATCACCTTTGTCATGCCACCATTTACTCTTCCCCCATAGGTTGTTAACCTCTCCACAGGGCGGGCTGTAAAGGACGGTCGTGATCAATTGCACCTGCCGCAGAGCCGATATGCCATCAATCTGCCCTGCCTAACGCGTGAGGACCTATCACATCACCTGGGGCAGGGTTGCGTCACCTGTTTGGCTTTCGACATGGCTCCCGTGACCTGTCTGTGGGCGGGCACCGACCACGGTCTGATCCAGTCATACCTCTGCGACTCGGACACGGGACGCCTAACTCGTGCTCGTCGGCTCCAACTGAATCTCGCCCATATTCCTGAGACTGCGCCGGCACCGATCACACAACCCATAGCGCTGGGCCACCGTGCCGGTCCGCAGTCGCAGAAGGGGAAGAGCAGAAAAAACTGGTTTGGCGGCGGTGGCGGCAAAACCATAGCTGGTGGTTACATGCCCAGCGTAACCAGTCTTGTGGCGCGTTCCTGGATCAGCCACTCGGACAGCGCAACTTACCTACTTGTCAATGCTGCTGGTCTCGGTCTCCTTGTCTTTCGTGTTGTCAGTCCGGATGGCCAGCTGAGTCTATTCCGCCAGTTTGACCTCGCCCACACTCCCCTGGGTGTGCGGCCGCCCACAAATGGTTATGGTCTCCACCTACTTCATTCCTGTTTTGCCCCGCTGATCTCCTTCCGAGCCGGCGCCTGTGCGGTCTCGGCGGGTGAGGAGGGTAACGTGTATGTCTTTGAGGTGCTCTCCGCGGCGACATCCGGCCAAGGCGCCAGGCAGCACGGGTTAACTGGTCGCTGTCTGACCTATTTCCAGGGTCACACGGGATCAGTAGTCGACGTGGCACTCAGTTGGGACGAGAGCGTTCTCGCCTCAGCTGATGAGCAAGGAAACGTTATTCTTTGGCGACGTCAACCGCGCGGCGCTTCGGAGTAGCCTCTGTCTCGCTCGTTGTGATAATTGTGTGTTCCTTACCCTTCAATCGTCGATCTCATCCCTCCTCTCGGGCTTTTGCCCCGCTGTGATACCTAAACATTCGCGAGCCATCATTTTCGACTGTTTTTTTTTAAGAGCCCTTGTACTTCTGCGTCCTTTTATTATTTCAAATTTCAAAGTTTATTCGCGATTTATTCTTGCCGTTTGCCTCAGTTTTTCGACTTGCGGCCCATTGTGACTTTAACCGTGGATGCTTTTTACAACAGTGTATTTCAAGCAGCAAGGCGAAATGCTCTCCTCTGAGTAGGATGGATAGGAGTCGACAGTCCTTTATGCTATATTTTGGCTCGCGGGAGCTTGTAAACTGAGAGTATCGTAAGGGGTCGGGTGTTGGACTTTATCCCCAAAGCAATTTTTCCCACGCCAAGGGGGATGCGCTGGGACCGGGCCGTCATTAACTGAACTTCAGCTCACTGAGGTGCCCCAGGGCATGAAAGCCGAACTTCCGAATATGTCCCTCCAATGACGTTTCTCCACTATTAGTTGTTCGCCACCATGCAACCATGTGTCGGGGATCTAAAGCTGCAATTTGATAGATGGGCAAATATCAGTCGTATGTGACTTTCGGTATAGACCGTTTCTATTTTACCACCCTAAGCCTAGTTCGTCTAAGCACCCCAGAATGCACAAAAAGGGCAATTACGTGTGGCCGACTCCCCAACGTGTTCTGTGGCTTCCATTCAGTACCCATTGCGCGAAGGCCTTTCGGGGGGCACGTAGCACACTCAAGCGAGTCCTCGGGTAATGGGGACGCAGACTGAGGCTGCTTGCCCATTCTGTTATTTTAGTGGCGGTGAGTTGCCATTCAGACGTCCAGAGCGGATGCCTTTAGAACAATTGGTGGCTATTAGCAGACATTGGTTCAGCAATCGCGCTGATCCACTAGTGTCCAGACTTTCGGAGACGGCAAACTATACTCCAACGCCTGTCCGATATGTCTGCGCGGTGAACTGGGTCATTCGACATTCCTTGAGGGAGAGTTCTGGTGTCACAGTAGACCGTAGCCTGTGCTTTGTTAGTCTTGGCGCTACAACACTTGCGAGTCTCCACGCAAACATGCAGCTACCCAGAGTTGTGAAAAATGGGCGGGAGTCGACATAGTTTTTTTTACTAAGATGAAGGTGCTCGAGGGGGAGGAGCTCGAAATTACCCGATCAATGTGTATAAAAGACTATCCGACTAACAATTAGCTACTTTTGTTCAAACTTGCCGTCTACCGGGCAACGCACAAATAGATCTAAGACCTGGATCAATCGATCGCGCTGGACATCTGAACGCCACTGACCAAAGCTATGGATTCCAAACGAAACCTGGAAGAGTAGACTGAGATTATGTGCTGCGCCTGTGTGCACGTCGAGGGTGACCCCTCAAAAGGGGCTGGCCAGTGATATGACTCGATCCTCACAAGTGGCGTGTACATTGCCACAACCCGTGAAAACCGATAAAAAGAATGCGTCCGATCTGAGTACGAGGGACGATTATCACTAAACCTGCCTTGGGGCTACTTTGTTCCTCAATGGGCAGAATGTCCAACAGCTTCCCACCGCTCTCGTGTATGCGCAGTACGACGGTCGACTGAGCACTGCTAATTGATTTTATAACAACCACTGGGAGACACCCGACGTGCACAGATAAAGAGGAGAACGGAGAAGGAGTCGATATAACTCCTCGCAAACAAAGGAGCGGTTCCTTGCGAAGGGATGTGCACGCTGACGGACTACTCAATAGCGAACACCTGAACGATAGGACTGACGGTCTCTCTCACGACAATCTCGGTATTCGGTCTTTGGACGATTCCAGATATGTAGCCACAGGGCGTTCCTATGACTTGTCAGCGATCGCTTACATAATGGCAAATGCAGCAAGGCCTAACTCCAACAAAGCCACCGAGGAATGATCAGGAACAGCGGATATCGTACAAAGCGCATAGGCCTCAGCATACGGAACGTTTAAATTCATGATAATGTGAAAACTGGTTTTGGTCGCTTTATCACACTGATACAGGCGGCTACCTCCGAGGCTTCAGTTTAGATCAACTGTCCTTGGTCTTCCCCCAATCCTGTCTATCTGCGTGGCAAGGCTGTGCCCCGTGCAGCGCGGACGCTGGGCGTGCTGGGAGTTGCAGCGCCGACGGCTTATACTGCAGACAACTAGTGCTGAGTCGCAAATAAAAGTGAAGGCAGCCAAAGTGGACGCGGAAGTCACTCCCCCAAGGCGAGGATGACCATCTCAGGGCTCGCAGCAGATATCCGCCCGGTTGCCGGTTGACTTGTCACGATGAGTCCAGCTTTCGACAAACGGTTGCTGTGGGAGCCGGCACCGGTCAACCCAGCCAAACAGGATCCGTTCCTGCCGAACCCTAGGACAGGCCCATGTAGTCCGACGGTCAGACCGAACGTAGGCAGGGCACTCGGGGCTATTATTCCGGAGGGACGTAATACATGGTCCGACGGCTCAGAAACACGTTTGGAGGAATTCGTTAATTGCATTTCCGCCTACTTCCCGAACTCTCCCACCACATCAGCCATGTCGATTGTAAGCAACACCGACCGAGCTCCTATCGCGCACTCGCTAGGGTGCCTCAGCCACACACCGCATCCAACTGGGAACGAAATCGTTGAGACCGCTATTCACCCGAACAGAACTGCGTCGATTCGCCGGGTGCCTGCTGAACTTGACATCTCTGGCTCTCCGCACCACATGCCTCCATCTAACCCTGAAGTCGGTTGTCGACCGAGCAGTGCAAAACGGTCATTCGTGCGGCGTAAAGCCAGCTAAGCCAATTCACGCCAAATACGGCCCGGAGACAAGAGGCCTGGCCACCTGGATCCGGCCTACAAAACCTTTATTCAGAAAGTCTCACCACTCACAGCACAGGACAGAACACCGTAATTCCTACAGTCCTCACGTGGGTGGACAACCTGTGACAAGCCTACCCGGGTCAACCTGTGCATCAATAGGTCATTTCCTGACCAGGATATCAGAGTAACCTGTAACCGGCAGACCGCGAAAATTCCCATTGCGTGGAGTAAATGGAGGGGCTAAAAAGACCTGATCGTTGTAAGCATCTCGCCAAGGGCAGAAATGGTGCTTTGATACACTCCCGCTTCACTAAAAGGCAGGCTCTGCACAGCGATGCAAAGGAGTAAGATGCGCGTCCCAAGTGAATGTGGACGCCGTGCAACGGCCTGAACTATCTCCTCTCGGCAGAATCCAATAGAGCGTCCCGACCTACACCGATAACTGTCATAAAAGGCACGCCCAGCGGAGTGAACTGGAAAAGCAGAACGACTGAATCACATTATGCATACCGTAAAAAACACAATGCTAAAACAACTGAGCATTTATGTACAAAAAATGACAATATGCGTTAAAATTCGCGGCGATGGTACTTGTCAGGACTGTAGAATGAAGTCACAACAAGGCGGCTATTGAACTTCCTACCACTAAGCGCGCTGGCAGCCTTCTGGCAATCAATGAGACTTGCAAATTCCACATAAATCTTTCCAACGCCAGGGACTTCAACACCGGGGATGGGTCTCGGTATCTCAAGACTTCGTACGATTCCGTGCTTGCTACATTCGACTCTTATGTCCTCGACGATATCTTCGTATTCTTCGTCATCGTTAAGTTCATCCGGTTCCACCATGTTAAGCAAGCAGAGGACCTCGGTGGGCGGTCCGCCACTGCGAACGGTTATATTGCCTGAACCAGTAGTATTAGGCACCAAGGCATCGTTGAGACCTGGTATCTGTATCACAGGCGCAGCCATAGCACCGCCCGAGTTCTTGGCCCCAACACTTGCTCGCTGCACAATTAACTTCTTGTCGCCGAGTTGCATTCCGTTTAGTCCGGCACACGCGTGGTCAGTCACGTTAGGGTCAACATATTCACAGAATGCGTACCCTTTAGACAAGCCAGTCGATCCGTCTTTGACCAAATTGAATCCCTTAAGTGGCCCGAAGCTCAAAAGAAGCTCCTTCACCTGATCTTCATTGAGGTAGTTCGGTAACCCGCCCACGAACACTTTGTGTGGAGAATCTTGAACAACCGTACTCACAACACCAGGTACTATGATTGACGGTGTCTCGCTGACACCTGGAAGAGGTGCGTAATCCCGTGGCCTGCGAAGTTTGAGGGCTTGGTTTTGGAAGAGAATGCCGTCGAGAGCCAGTCCCTGGGTTGTTTCATCAACTGAGCGGAATTCTAGAAATGCGAAATTCTTCTCCATGTTGATTTGAACAGCGATAATTGGGTTCCCCTCAGCTTGGACTAGGTTTTGAGCCTTCATCTGTTTATTGAAGAAGTCCATCATATTCTCCTCAGTAGCTGTGAAAGGAATGTTGCCCACATACAACCGTCGAGCCTGGCGACAGACAGCACTTCCAGCAAATGGTATATTCGTATTAAGTGTGAGAGGCGCATTAGGTGCAGTTGCTGGCATTGGGATTTGCCCGGCTGCGTAGACGTTGACTGGAATCTGTCCAGAGGCCTGTAGAGCTTTGTACTGGAGGGGGGTCATGTGCTCAAATCCGGGTGGTGGCACATCCCAATATTTGTATACGAGCGTTTTGGTCTGGCTTGGGGAACGATGACGCGAATGTCTTCGCCTCGAATGACGGTCTCTGCTGCGGTCACGACTTCGATGTCTCCGACCACGGCTACTGCTCCGAGATCGCCTCCGATCGCGCTTTCGATCGCGGCTTCTGTCGTCGCTGCGCCGATCACTTTGATCATCATGACCCTTGCCGGCAGATGATTCCCTGTAGTTGTTATAGTCCTCGTCTGGCGACTGTTTCTGTCGATCATAATCTGGATAATTGCCATTGCTCGCCGCGGAGGACTCGTTCACGTAATTGGAGTTCGAGCGCTCCTCGCCGTAGTTTGCCGGTCCACCCTCGTTGGCGGCGTACACAGAGTAGTCACCCATGGGAAACCTAAAATCGACATTTGAGAAAGCGCTGAAACAAAGAATAGAATACATATTAACGTATTCCTTTGACAGTGCTTGCGAAACTACCAAGACACGGGCTACAATCACATCTTGATAGTCTAATTTAAAAGTCACAAAGTCTCAGCCCCCTTCGACTGAGGAAACTGCCAGCAACTAAGATACAGAAGTCGGACACTCCCAAGTTGGTATGCACGCCAGGCCAAACAAGATGCATCAGCTTAGTCGCTAATACAAGCCGATATTAGTGGCTCCTAGCATATCAAAGAACCAGTAAGACTATCAGTCTTAGCGTTAAATTAGGTCATAGTCAACTTAGACTCTTAAGGCCAGTGCATCAAGATGCTGGCCTACAAAGAAATATGAGCTCTAGATAGGCCACATTCGCATAAGGCGGCATCGACTCCCTGTGAAAACACAATGACTGACGTGACGACTTGTCACTAGTAAAGGCCTCAGGGAGGACACTTCAACTGTCTATGGCAGGCGCAGGAGAATTTGCTTCTCACCTCGACCTAAACAGCTTACTCCAAAAGAACAACGGTACGACCGACTTTCAAAGGTCCTTAAAACCACTATCGTGCAGAATTTACCAATGGCAAAGCTGAGTGGATCAATGGACTAACCGAGCAGTGCCTCCGGAAAGTAAAATGGCGCTTGCGCGTCATACGCAAGGTAAACAGTTAAACAACGGACCCTGGTATCAATGTAAAATTTGCTTTTTTGAAATAGGATGTGTGCGTTCGATTAACTGAACGCTTTTATGTTTTAACTTAGTTACCCTAGATTGGCTGAAACCAAGGCAAGATGTTGAACTTTCCTTAGCACAGACCTAGTCATGTTCTAAAGGCGAATGAATAAATTGGCAGGAGTCCAGAGGAGAGAGGCGAGGAGTCCAGAGGTTAGTCAATGGCGTGGGTTTTTATGCAAAAATCTGCACTGCTGATAGGGCTAAGTCAAGTAATTTAGAGCCAACTGAAATTTTGAATGATCAGTTTAGACAACATAGGCCGCCGAGTAATGGGTGGCAGCGGACCGACATACTCAACAAATCCTCGACCACTTAAGCAGCCGAGGAGTGCCTATAAACAAACTACGTAGTTTGCGCGACGGCAAGTGGAACTACGAAGAACCATAAGCAAAAGTCGTTCACCTGGGAGTGAAAATGTGCTAAGATGCGACGTGGGGAACCCTTAAACTCTAGGAACTGAATGGGATGCTGCCCCAATATCATCTAGAACACTAATTCTATTAAGGATCCTCACAATCAGGGGCTCGTATTTTTCTTTCTACATCAGCAAACCGATGATATGCAAAAAAATTGAATGTAATATTTTGTTGACGGCAAAAAATATTTGGATGCTCTTGACAGACGTGACTATAAATGTTTTTGTTGCTCTGTTGTCCTAATTTCCAGATGGGACTAAAAAAAAGCGCTGTGGAGCATTTGCCAAGACGACTTTCTTAAGTTGGCCGTTTGACTGGTCATTTCGTGTTTGCCTGGACATAATTTGCTTTGCTTTTGTGTCCACTTGCATGTTGTATAACTTATAGTGATTTTGACATGAGAATGATTATTCCCCAATCAAATAATCTGCCGTTTCGTTGTATGAGAAATAGTTGTTCGGGGAAATAATTAAAAGGAAGTAGGACCGATGGCTAGAACAGAAAGCCCTCCATTGCTGAACAAGAACTATATTCGTTAAGCTTTTGGGTTCACTACGGAATCCATCATCAGAGATAGAAAGAGATGAGTATAGTCGACGCAGAAGGGCTGCGATATTCCTAGGAAGTAGAGTTATACAGCCGTACATTTACTAAGACTAACAGCTGTCGCATATATCCCACGCGTGCCTACTTGGTGCAGTAGTGTTTTGTTAATTTTTGTTTGAGCACTTAACAGTCGCTTGTTCATGATTACTTCTCGTAATTTGTATGATGGTCACCCTTCGATTTGGTCCACCGATACCTTCACAAGAAGCACTGTCCACCCTACATTCCTAAGTACCAATTAGTTCCGCCGCACAAAGTTTCGGCGTTGGACCTAGAGCGGCCACAGTTCGCGAGATAACTATCTCGCGAACTTAACTATATGACTTAATCCCTTCTATCGAGCCGCATCTTTTGATTTGATGTCACTCTTCCCCCAAGCTGATACTTTCCCACCCATTCATCGCCGGGGTAATCGCCCTGTGTCTCCAACGTAGTTTTTTTGTCTGCACTTGCGCCACCCCCTTTATTGAATCCAGAAATTTCATTTTGTGAAGTCAGACTCTCCGGCCTAATCACTTAGCACGTTATGCCTGCTCCGGTCTGAATGTGGTTGAAAATCAGAGCAATATTAGAAGGCGGCTGACTGATTTGCTAATTTCATGAAGCAACTGGACACTCAAAAAGTTTGGACCTAAAGTCATTTGTCCTCTTGCCTTGTCTTCACGTTCACCGGTTCACGACTCTGCCCGTTAACCCGTCAAATATACAGTGATTCAGCAGTCTTATATTCCAATTTACAGCGATGACACTCGACATGTCAATAATATACTCTTACCTTAGTGTCTTTGTGACTTGTATTCTGGTTGTTGCTTAAGCTGCTACGCCATATTTGTAGCTTTTGCTTGCATGCTATTCTTGAATCTCATGAGAATGTAGGCAAAGTGTGTGGCAATTTCAAGGCCTTTAGTGATATCACTCCCGAGATTTCTATTTCCGCCCTCATTCTTAGGACAGTGTCAGTGCTTCATTCGAAAAGCCAGTTTTTCATATATATGATGGTTTGGCCGTCACAACCGACAACGTTCACCGTGTGCTTCAGAGAAAGGTAAGCCAGGTAGACTTTGTGGAACCATCGATCGCCTTTTTGTATGTTTGAAAACGTTGCCGAGGTCTATATGACCAGGTACTACGTTTTTAATTTTCTTTTGTTGCCTTTCAGTCTCCAGAGACATTCCAGCGTTTCACTGCCCGCGTTGCAGGCGGTATTTCTTTTGCTCATGTATATATTTAAGACGTTTTTGCGCCAGCTGAGGGGTGAAGAAACACAAGAAACACAAACCCTAGTATTTTGCCGACATCAGAAACCCGTCATTTACCAAAGCTTTCCTAAATATGCCCGGTAATCATCTTTTTCTAACTTCTCAGCCACTAGATAGAGCTTCAAAATGCTCGACATCTTGCCCGAAAACTGGCAAATATCACCGTTTTTCCTTCAACTACCTATAAGCTTTGGCTCCTACGATTCATGCGGATGGACATTTTCTGCTGCATTTTCATTCACAATTGTGCATGTACTATTTTAATCACTGGCTGAATTCTTTTCTCCTTCCTAGCGTTCAGTTCAGTTCAGTTTATTGAGGGAAATAGGCGTAAGCCTTTGAGTACCCTATTTGCAACGTAAAAAATGTGTGGTGTACAGATAGATGTTCTGGGCTGAAATAGTTCGAACACGCCCATAATGGTGGGACAAAATGAGAAGGAGTTACAGGGGGTGAGCTCGACTTCTCATCGCTCTTGGGCATTCCGGAACATAAATATGTCCAGATTCTTCTTAAAACTTTATATAGATGGTAGCATCACAACATCTGCGAGAAGGGCATTCCATGGTTTGACCACCCGAACCGAGAAGGAGAACTTCCGCACATCCAGCCGTGCCTGCTGAGTGCGCAGTTTTAACGGGTGACCTCGGAGGTTGGTCGTGGTAGCAAATTCAAAAAAGTCCTCGAAGGCCAGACTGCAATCCAACCCCTTTACAATACGGAAGGCTTGCAAGAGATCTCCGCGAAGTTGCCCGTAACTCAAAGGAAAGAGGTTCAGATTTACTAGGCGTGTTGCATCTTCGTGGCTCTCCTCTGGACTCTTTCGAGGCAGTTTTGATCCTCAACAGCCCACGGCCTCTAAGCTTGTATGCCGTACTCTAAATGCGGCCGGACGAATGTTCCGAATGTCTTAGAGAAAACTTCTTCGTCAAAGTCCATAAACGCACGCTTGATGGCGTACAGTACGGACATTGCGCTTTTTGCCACCTTCGAACAGTGGGCGGATGGTTTTAGGGAACTCGTCGTAAGCACACCGAGGTCCTTTTGGGCTTTGACCTTTTGTAGGGCTGCACCGCTCAGAAAGTAGCCTCTTGTGCTGGCGGATCTGGCTGTGTTGCCTAGGCGAAGTATGCTACATTTGGCAACGTTGAACCGCAGGAGCCAACGGTTTGACCACTCCTCCAACCGATTCAGGTTCTTCTGCAGTCTGTCTTCATCGGCAGGACCCCGAATTACACTCCATATCTTCATGTCATCCGCAAACATTGCTACTTCACAGTCTAAATCTCTTGCGGCATCGTCCACGTAGATAAGGAACAAAATGGGTCCCAGTACTGAACCCTGGGGACACCACTATCGGCCATAGCCGGATCTGATTTTCCCCGACCGACGCACACAACCTGCTGTCGACCCACAAGGAAGTTGCCACCGATCCCTATTTTTTCAGCTTATGTAAGAGCCTTTGGTGTGGCACAGTGTCGAAAGCCTTCTGGAAGTCGATGAAGGCTATGTGGACCGCGTGCCTGTCGTCGAGAGCTTGGGTCCAGCTCTGGAGAGATTGCAGCAGGTTTGTCGTGCAGGATCTTCCTTTTCGGAACCCATGTTGGCATTTCGATAGCAGGCCGTGAACTTCCAGGAATTGCATCAGTTCAGTCTTTATGATCCTTTCCATAACTTTGCAGAGAATGCATGTCAAGCTTATGGGCCGGTAATTTGTCGTCGCTGCCCTGTTACCTCCTTTGTGTAGCGGAGTAATATGTGCCAGCTTCCAATCGACAGGAAGTGTTCCAGTGTCAAATGACGTTTGAAAGAGCATCGACAAAGGCACAGAGAGCTCACTGGCAAGTTTCTTGAGAAGCTTGGATGGAATCTCGTCTGATCCTGGCGACTTCGATTCGTTTAATGCCTCTAATTGTCATCGGACAATGCCTTCTGAGAAGAGTATATCACTGACGCTTGGAGTCGGCAGTTCTTCTGTGGAGGGAGGAAGGAACCTTGCCTCGTTTGTATAGACTGATTGGAAAAACCGTGAAAAATACGCAGCTTTATCCCTACTATCAGCGATCTCAACGTCATCAGTAGTCTTTATCAAGGGGATTTGATTCCTGTTCCTTGTAGTTCGTCGGAGGTAGCTGTAGAGCAATTTTGGGTTCTGCGTTGCTTTTTGTAGCAAGTTCCTCTCGAATTCCCGCCGCGTCTGCATTATCAGCTTCCTCAGTTTGTTCCTCTGTGTCTTGTAGGTGTTGAAGCATTCAGCTTGTCTAGTGACGCACTATTTGTTCCACAATTTGTGCTTCCTGTTGATTTCTTTCTTAAGGTTGCTATTTAGCCACCCAGGGCGTTTGTTCAGTCTTACACTAGTCAGTGGGCAGTGGTTGTTGATGAGCTACAGAAGGACATTCTTGAACAGCTCCCAGTCATAGTTGGCACTTCCCGTAAACAATGATCCCCAGTCAAGACCGGATAAGTCTGCCCTCATCTGATTGAAGTCGCCCCGCCAAACATTACGTCTTTTGTGGTCTAGAGTATGTGAAATGGAGAATAACGAATAATCCCACATAAGCACTACGTGGTCACTTCGGCCAAGCCTTCTTCATAACTCCCACACGCAATCCATACCCCCGGCCTGCACTGGTCAAGACCCTCCTGGCGACATCTTCCTGACTCACCGCATCCTGAGGGAAATCCCTTCCTCATGGTCGGAACCCAAAATAACGCAGCTGAAAAATTTAGCCCGACGTTTAGTGTTCTTCTGTTCAGAATATGATCAAATAGAATAGGTTTATTATAGCACTGCTTGGGAACTCTCAGTCTCCTTCGAACGCAGAAAATAACCTTAACCAGACTCATCCAGTTCGGCTACACTTCGCCTCCATTTGTTTTGGATGTCTGCTTAGTCAATAGAGCGCGAATTAATAGTTTGTTTTAAGTTTAAATAAACGAGTTCCAGGGCAAAATAATAGCAAAGTAAGAAAAAAAACGATATGTGCGATATGGTTATTGAAGTTTGGATACAAATTCGACTTTGGCAACGTTTGGGGTCATGAATACACTGATCTTCATGGGACTTGAAGAACTTTGACACCGGCCAGACATTGAAATTATCATCGAGGTGAATAAATTTAGGTGTCTGCTAGCTGCCGGTGTAACAGCCGGAGATCTGACAAGATTCTGGACCTTGGTTGTTTTACCTGACACTTACGCTAGATGACATTCTTCCGTTTTTTTCCTGGCAGGAACTGTCACTCCAAGGTCACGCGCGGACGTGTAACACACGGCCCCTCTCCGATAAGTCGTCCTGCTGTTCTTTTATTTTTACCGTAACCCACATTGTAACATTTTTCCACTTTTTACAGTCGATAATATATTTATATCTTTTTATTACCTGCCCTGCCTCGTACGATATCCCGGATGCCTCTAATTCAATTCAATTCAATCATTTTTATTAAAGATCCGTCGGGGTCCCATCAAAGCAAGTAAAAATAAATTTACATGCGAATTTTAGACGAGGTAGGCAAAATCTGTACAAAGTGCAATACGTAGTTATTGAGATTAGGTGTCCATTAAGCAAAATGAAAAACGAGGGGTGAAAAAAAACTCCAAAGCAAAATTTAAAAATAATTGTAGTAATTTAACAGGAGAAAAAACCCTCAAAAAATAGCATCAGAAAAATGCAGGAAGGACTGGCCTGCATGTGGCGGTACAGAATGGAATATAGTCGGACATCAACATGGCCGAAATAAATGTCAGCTGTATATGGCATTGTGTAACGGATTTCATAAAATGGTACGTAGGCGGGTCGGTCAGGACTGGCCTGTATCGCCTTGAATAAGAAAAATAAGTGGCGAAATTGAAAACCAGTCTCGAGCTGATAGGAACCCAGATGCGGTCGGTTTCATTCAGCCGAGTCCATCCGAGCATGGGGGAAGGGAGATGCGACCAGACTACTAGTATATGGCGAATATAGAAGGCTTCGCCAAGAGCATCGATGTAGCGCATTCTGTAAGGGCACGATGACAACCAGTCTCGAGGCGACAAGAACCCAGATGCGGTCGGTTACATTCATCCGAGTCCAACCGTTGATGGGGTAAGGGAGATGCGACCAGACTACTAGTATATGGCGAATACAGAAGGTTTCGCCAAGAGCATCGATGGTGCGCATTCTGTGAGGGCACGATGCATGAACTGAAAAATTGGAATAATTAACATTTCTGGTGAGGGATCTTAGGTAGCGAGACTACTCATAAAGGAAGGAAACGTGAACAGATACGGAAATTTAATAGCGGCATGCTAAATTCCCGGTGGCCGTTTCTCAGTGTCATAGAAAAAGCTGTCTGGGAAGGATGAGGAAAATAAAAGTTTAATCGAGTCAGTATTCAGATAAAGGCGTAGCCCTCTCTTAAAGGTGCGTAGATTTTCTGAAGAACTTATATTTATTGGAAGGCTATTCCAGAGGAAAGTATACCTGGAAGCGAAAAAAAGGGAGCGCTTAGAGGTGGAGGACGCTGGAGGAGGTATAATTAGAGACGAATTCCGAAGATTGTATGGGCGAATACTAGGGGTAAGTGCTGAAATCCGAGGAAAATTTGAACTATGATTAATGCGAAAGAGGAGACAGAAGCCCGCTTCTAGTCTTCAAACCCATAAAAATTTTAGGTTAATTAGCTGGCATCTATCTGAATAGGAGATATTGGGATTTTCCCTATCTAAAAGTTTTTTAGAAAAACGTCTTTGGACATTTTCAATTTTTAAAGGAATAGCTTCATTCATCAAACCAAAGAATAGGCAACAATACTCGAAAATGGGTAGTACAAACATAGGATAGAGCCTTAATTTAATTTCAGGAAGATAGAAATTGTAAGAAATAAAGCCACAAATCTGGGCAGCTTTGGCTGTAATTCTGTCAGCGTGCGGCGAGAGATCAAGATTACTAGTGTAGCTTAAACCTAAATCCTTGATGGTGGTACATTCAGTCATAGGTGTGCCTTGAAAGACCACTGGTTGGGGTAGCCTATCGGGTCCAAAGCACATATAGCGACATTTAGACGGAGAGAATTCTATTAGCCATTTTGAGCTCCAAGCTGAGAGAGCAAGCAAGTCAGCATGGATTTGCTCCAGGCAGTGAAGGTTCCTAGAGTTTTTGAAAGAATATACACATTTGAGATCATCGGCATAAATAAATGATTGAGAATGTTTAACTGCTGTTGAAATATCATTTATGTAAAGCAAGAACAAAAGAGGACCTAAACGGTACCTTGTAGGACACCGCTTACAATAGGACTTTCACTGGAAAGTGAAGATCCCACCAAAACCTTTTGTTTACGATTAGACAGGTATGACCTGAGAAAGTCTATTAGTGGACTGCGAATTCCCATAGCTTCCAATTTAACCAAGAGTCTTTTATGTGGCACTTTATCAAAGGCTTTACTAAGATCAAAATAAATTACGACAATAGATAGGTGATCATTACGAAGAGAGGTAAGTAGATCGAGAAACGACAGATGACATGTTTCACAAGAGCGATCTGGTAAAAAGATAGGTGATCATTACGAAGAGAGGTAAGTAGATCGAGAAACGACAGATGACATGTTTCACAAGAGCGATCTGGTAAAAAACCATGCTGGGAAGGGCTAATCACTTGATTGGCTATGCAAAATTCGGTAATTTTTACGGCGATAATTTTTTCAAAGATTTTGACGAGAGAGGGTGTTTTATGGACACCTCGATAGTTCTGTACGTATAATAGAAGTTTTCCAATAGTCAGGAAAGAAGCCATTTACGAGAAATACTGAAAAGATTCTGCTAAGCAGAGGAGGAAAATCTCTTAGCTGTTTTATCAAAGAGTTTGGGATATTGTCCGTACCTACTGAGTGAGAGTTAGGAAGATGGCTTATCAGTTTTTGAATACATTCAGGAGAAAAATTAATGAAGCTAAGAGAAGCATCAGACAACGAAGGAATTAAAGGGATCGGATCAGTTTCAATGGTGAAATGCTTGGCAAAGAACGAATTTAAGATGTCTGCTTCGCCTGACTCCTCAGTAATGAAGGCATCTCTAGCACTAAGCAAGGGCGGAATGACTTGGTGGGACTTATATATGTATGTATGTATGTATATTGAAGGGTTACAGGCAGAGCCCTTGATGACCCTATTTATGTACAGTGCTTTCGCAGATTCACACTCAAAAATAAAATAAAATTGCAGGCATTTAAAATGTGATTGGGTCACAGTTCAATCGTAATCATAAGGTAGTGCATGGGGTCACAG